CTGGGAGCAGGGGAAGGAAGAAGCGGGGGAGCGAGCGAGCGGCTGCGCGGTTCCGAGTTACCACCTGGGCTTAAACCACGACAGTGACCCAGCAGCTCCCTTCCCATGGGATCCCCGGCATCGCTGCCAGGGGCTGGGCTGAGGAGCTGCTCTGGGTGAGCTGGGAGTCGGGGGCAAAATTAAAGCAAAGGGAAAACCCAACTTCACTGGGGCCACATGCTCAGTCTGCGGAAGAGGAAAGCCTGAAACCAGGATGCTTCACACTATTCCATGTCACCCAAAGCTCTGCCCAACCTGGCCTTGAACACTGCCAGCGATGGGGCATTCCCCACTTCTCTGGGCACCCTGTGCCAGCGCCTCAGCACCCTCACAGGGAAGAGCTTCTTCCTTATATCCAGCCTAAACTTCCCCTATTTAAGCTCGAACCCAGCACCCCTTGTCCAAGCTGGCCAAGCAGCTCTGGTCTCCTCTTTTTCAGCATCCACGCCACAACAAACACCACCATCGGAGGTGGTCGGAGTCGTGCAGGGGGTAGCATATCTCAGTCCGAGCCTGCAAAGCACCGTCCCCTACCATGAAGTTCACTGGAGGCGCAATGAGACCTTGAACCTCGCCGTGCGGGACAGCAGCGGGAAGGTCTGGTACCGCAACAACAGCTACCAGGGGCGCCTGGAGCTCTTCCCCAACAACACCCTGAAGATCAGCTGCCTGCAGAAGAACGACAGCAGCATGTACCAGCTGTACCTGGAGGATGAGATGGGCAAGGGGCTCATCGAGAACATCCTCCTGACCGTGTATGGTGAGCTGGGAACGTGGGAGGGTTGTCCCAGCATCCCATGAGGGGACAAGGGGGAGGCTGTGACATCCTGGTGCCTCTTGCAGAGCTGGTCCCAAAGCCCTCGGTGAAGGCCAAAATGGTCAGAAGTGACCCAGAGCAGTGTGAAGCAACCCTGGAGTGCTCGGTGGGGCTCGAAGGGGTGACCTACGAGTGGATCTCCCACTCCAAGTTCCAGTGGAGCCATATGAGCGCTTCTGAGCTGCACGTGGCCCTCAATCCCTCGTCAGACACCTTCACCTGCAGGGTCAGCAACCCTGTCTCCTCCAACAATGCCTCGCTGCTCTACAGGCACCCCTGCTCCTGGACAGGTACCGCAGAGCGGGCAGAACCTGCGTGGATGGGCTGCAAGGTGGCCTTGGCTTTGCAGGGGCTCCTGAGGACAGCGGGTCCTCACCAGGCTGGGGGGGTCCCATGGCTCTGGTGGGTGGCAGGAGCCTGTATGAGGAGAGGGGAGCCTGTATGAGGAGGGGTTTGGGGGTCCCCTGCTGGGGCTGGGCAGCTCATGGACCTCCCCATGCACTGGCTCTGTCCCCAGGTGAGTCCTCCAGTGCCTCATCCTGTCCCACCACCAGCGTGCTGGTGGCCCTGGCACTCCAGCTCCTCCTCCTCCTCCTCCCTCTGGCTTAAGGCTGCTCTGCGGTTGACATGGCTCCTCGCCTCCTCACCCCCCGCTCCTGGACGAAGGCCCCAGCCGGGCTGGATGCAGAACGATGCAGTTGCTCAAGGGAACCATCACAACCAGTGCCTGTTACAGCAGCACCCACCCAGTCCCCTCCACGTGTGCCTGCTTCCCGCAGCTCAAGCCTGGGGTGCTCTGCTGCTCCCTTCGGGGCAGCTCCGTGCCTCAGTTTCCCTCCTCACCTCTTCTTTGCTTTAGTTAGAGGTCACGTCCTCCAGAACCCTGCCACTCTCATGGTGAACTGCTTGGAAACCCCCTTGTTGGCCCTGAGACCTGCAGGGAAACCCAACCTGAGCCTCTCCTCAGCTCCCCATGGACGTGGGAGCTCCTTGACCATCACCTGCTGCCAGCGATGCCCTTTGCAGTGCCCGAGCAGTGTGACAGTGCACGACGTGTTTCACCTGCAACCAGTGACACCCATAGGGTGCAACTGGGTGTTTCCCAGCGTAAGGGCAGCAGCACCACAGCATTTCGAGGCGGCAGAGCTGAGGTGGCCACTTTGGTTGTCTCTGCAAGGCAGGGCTTGGTAGCACAGGTACGGTCTCTGCTTCCAGCAATCTCTGTCCATGCACACATTGAATTGGAACCTGCACCACCAGGTTTTCGGGTGTCTGTTTTGGGCTGGGGCAGCGGCAGTGGGTGCTGGGCAACGGGAGGGTGGTGGGGGAGCTGTGGTGCTGGGGTCAGGAGCCCTTCCACAGTCATTCCCCAGGGGAGGAGCTGACTTCGGATGGTGGGAGATGGCCCCATTGGGGTGGGAGGATGTGTCTTGGGCAGGATGGAGATGATCCCTCAGTCTGCAGGAAGGGATGGGGATGGGGACGTGTCCCAGGGCTGCTGCAGCTCCCGCCAGCTCCAGCAGGACAAGAAAAGGGCTTCACGACGGATCCAGTGCTCCAAGACTCCCAAGGCCAGATCCAGCACAGGGGCAACAGGGACCTGCCAGCTCCTGTGGGAACTCAGCAACGAGCACACGTGGCGCCAGCTCCTGGCTCTCATGAGCAGCTTGGGGTCAATTGGTGCTGGGTGGCTGCTGGGTTCAGCACCAAGGGATATCTGTGCTGAACCCCCCCTTGAAAACACACCCTGTGCAGCGCCTCAGCACCCTCCCACGGAAGAGCT